ATACTAAACAAAGCTCTTCATTTATTTCAATAAAATATTTACTAAAAGATTTGTTGAAGTTTATTTAGGGTTCATTTGAGTACTGTAGATTGATTCCATTCCACTGGCTGTTTTAGTCATTTACATTGTTATCCCACATCTCAAAGTTGTGGATTGATCTTTTTTAGGTCATACTAATGAAAACATTTTATTTATTTTTCTTTTCACAGACTTCAAAGAGGCTTTCCTGCTCTTTGACAGGACAGGTGCCAGCAAGATCGCCTATGGCCAGGTTGCTGATGTCATGAGAGCTCTTGGACAGAATCCCACAAATGCTGAGGTCAAGAAGGTCCTTGGCAACCCAACTCCAGAAGGTAAGTGTTGTCTCATAGGATTACAAATTAAAGTCTTATTTGAATGCTGCTAGCTCTAGGTTTCAGAAGGCAGCAATCAATAAAACAAATTATTTATATACATAGCAATAGCAAGTGAGAAGAAATCTTCCCAAATTGAGGGGAAATCCAGTTGTCCAGACAGTTGTCACTAGAACATTTGTCCCGATTGGAATATTATCTCTCACCACTTGCATTCGCAACAACTCCAAAGAATCTCTTACACACTCCCACACTCTATCCAAAACAAAAAAATCCCTTTACATGCACTTTAATAAAAGTAAAACAAATTAGTACAAATTAGTTTAAACAAATATAAAAACTGTGTTTCTCATTTGCATGTGTCATTAGCTATGTAAGGAAAAATCACCTTTCAACTTCATGCAGCCCTGTTCTGTAAAAACCACCCTGTGTCTTGTAGGTCTCCAAACTCAACTCATGTAATTCTTGTTTCATGTGTTTTTTTGCAGAGATGAACGCCAAGCTGATTGAGTTTGAGCAGTTCCTGCCCATGCTGCAGGCTGTCGCCAACAACAAGGACCAGGGCAGCTTTGAGGACTTTGTTGAGGGTCTGCGTGTCTTTGACAAGGAAGGCAATGGCACAGTTATGGGCGCTGAGCTTCGTCACGTGCTGGCCACACTGGGTAAGACATATGTGCATTGTTTGCCAGCTATAGATGCTCAGAAGTGATTGCTGGGCAATATAAACTGGACATTAACAACCAATCATTGATGCATCAACAGGTGAGAAAATGAAGGAGGAAGAAGTAGAAGCCCTCCTGGCAGGACAGGAAGACTCCAACGGCTGCATCAACTATGAAGGTAAATCACAGAGTGGTCATTCCTAATAGAAACAAAATGTAATTTTCATTGCATTCTGCACTATTGGTGTTTGATATAACAATATGTCTTTCTTTCATTTACAGCCTTTGTAAAGCACATCATGGCCATCTAAAACCTTTACAGTAAGTGGATATTTTGTTTAAACAGCCATAATTGTTATCTAAAACAACTACAAGTATAGAAAATCTGTGCTATTGTCACATACAGATCAGTTAGAAAAATATACATTTTGATGCACTAGACAGTTTTTACTTTATATCTTCTGTTACACAATTAGTGACACACATTATGTCTGTCTTAAAGTGTTAAGCCATTTGGAAATGTTTCTTAACTGTTTCTAATTATTATCTGAAATAACTGGTAATGTAGATAATCTGCTGGCATTGCTCTTACTTTAAAGAAGATAACTAAATATTATTATACAGAATGCAGGTTTCTCTTCCTATACACAGTCCTTTTGGAGGTCTGACAATCCTTAAATACACATTGGATTTAAAGGAAACCTGTACTAAGGAAAATATGCCATTGCTAGAAAATGCTAGTTTCCTGATGGTCATGCAAACTAAGGTTTCAACCCAGAATAATGTCTCAGAATTTCTGAGCCCCAGACCCAGAATAAGTATGCAGATTTGGATTAATTGTTCTGGGTCAGGTGACTCAGAAGCCAGAGGCAGCCAGGCAACTATCATTTTTAGAAGGAGGTCAGCAGTACATATTCTCTCACTAGAGATTTGCAAATAAGCTATTAAAAAGATTAAAACAAAACAGTTATGCTTTAAAAATCTTATCCTTAAAAGTGAAGTAAAAATTGTCTTATTTATTATTCTCCGTAACATGGTAGAATTCCCTACCTCAAATCAAGTTACAACATGCAGTCAACCACTCTCCAGGCTGAAATGGCAGAAAACAACAACTTAGCTTTAAATAATATAAAATATATAACGGCAGTGAGATAATCTGCGCACTCGGTTAATATACAGGAATATGTTCGTATTTGGTATTATCCTTTGCAAACAGCTTTTTATGTTAAATGTTCCTTCTGAAGGATCCAGTGCAGTCAATAATTAGGTCACTGACTATATCAATGTAATTCTTATTTGTTTAAATCATACTAGTCCACTACAGAATTGTTTAAATAAGGTAAATAATTGTTTTCACTTTTTAAATAAAGTGTGTAAGCCATTCTTTACTAATTAGTTTTACTTGAAATGTTTTACTCAGAATTCAGTGGTTTTCAGAGCTTATGTTTTACAAACTATTGGACTTTTTGCTTATAGTAGACCTTAAAAATCATACTTCGTATAAATCAATATGGCATATGACAGTATTACTGAAAAACAAATGTATTTGCGTATAAACGTTGATTTTTCTTGTCATGAATAAAAAACTCTGCTCTGAATTCAGCATGTAACTTATAGCCTAGGCAAAGATGGCATGGTATCCAGCTAGGTCTGTGTGGGTGTTCCACATCGTTAGAAACTGCAGAAGGTCTATTATTATTAATCAGAGAAACAGTATCTGTTAGATGAGGATCAGCAGGAACTTATTTCTGGTTTTATAATATAAATGCGTGGCTTCCCTATATAAATAACAAGATGAGCATACATTTGTTTTAAAGCATAAACATACATTAATGATATTATTTAGTTTGTGAGCACTCATGAGCAGGGCCCTCCTAGCCCTCTTGTATTAAATCGGATCATCACTGTACCCACTGTCCTTTATTTTGTAAAGCACTGCACAAACTTTTGGCGCTATATTAATCCTGTATAATAATAATATTAATTTAAATGTAGTTGATGTTTTTAACCTGTTTATCTAAAACATATTAAATAGACCATATGTCCGCTTTATAAGGCAACATATTAAGTAACCCATGGTAATCAATGAACAATTATGTAACTGTTTTGACAGATCTCATGTGATTTGTTCTTTACAATCATTAAATAATATCTTGTATAGTTAAATGTTGCAGTTGTGTGTTTTTATAAGAATCCAACTGATATTCTGCTTTATGTTTCCTTTATAGCACTGTTCTACATATGTCTCAGAAGATCTGGAGGCATGGAAACTGTACATAGACCAGCAACTGGTCACCATTACCAACCTTATGGAAATATACTGTACAATACACCCACCATTTTTTTTAAATTTTGCACCATTGGGACATTTCTTTCCATGAACCCTGGTATTATTTCAAGGAAACCAAAAGATCTCACAGGAGCTATCACCCTGGCAAAGCTGGCGGAGAATTCCATCAAGCACATCTGTGTAACATGCCATGGATTATTGTAAAATGAAAAACATGACAATAAAATACCCTTTGCTAAAATGGTGGCTGCAGAGTTTCTCCTAATTTATCTGTCCAACGGTTTGGGCCAATGCACCAAAGAACACTGCATCATTCACTGCCAGAGGTCCCACTCGCCTAAGGTGCAGCTGGAATCTCTGATAGTAGAGTGGTTAATTTATTGCCTTCCTGTATTCCATTCTGTCAAAACAATAAAGTTTTATTGAAACCAATCTTATGTAGGTATGTTTCCTCATTTGGGAGCAATGTTAACAGCCAGTAAAGACACCTATAGGAGATTTTTCAACATATGTTCATTCAAGGATGTCAAGGTTTGAAGACACCTAAGGGAGAGAGTTATTAAGGCAAAATTGGACCACAGGCAAAAAAACTGCTTTGGCCACCCCCATCCCTCTGATTTACATTGATAAGGATTGTAATAGACACAAAGAAGCCACCCCTTTTTCAGCACTGGCATGGCTACAAAATGAATTAAAGGGATAGAAGACCTGAGTTATGAGGACCGCCTCCAGCAGTTAAACTTATTCACCTTAGAAAAGAGGCGCTTAAGAGGGGACCTTATTGCAGTCTTCAAAATCATCAATGGGGACCACAGTATTCGGAACAAGTTGTTTACACCAAGAACTATATTGAGGACATGAGGACACAACAGGAGGTTAGAAGAGAGGAGGTTCAATCTTAGACTTTGAAAGGTTATTTTTTTTACTGTGTGCGTGGTAAAAATGTGGAATTCACCTCCACAGGCAGTGGTGTCCGCTGATAGCGTTGATAAATTCGAGAAACTTCTAGATGAGTTTCTTCTTTCACTACATACACAAGGATATGGGAAGTGGAGCTATATACTGTATGTACAGACACACAAATACTTACACACATAGGTTGAACTGGATGGACCTTTGTCTTCATTCAACCTCACTTACTATGTTACTATGTCCCATCAGATGCCAACTGCCTACAAGTGAATCAGCCTCGTGAAGTGACTGATAGGTGACCAATTTCACTTTCCCACTGGCTTACTGCAGGAGCATGAAGATTATAGCTGTGCCCCCTTAACATCCACTAATCCCTAGGCTCCTGCCTCAATTGCGTTGTGGATGATCCAGCTCTGACCTATGAGAACATGTTATCTGCAAACCTATCTTTAGAAAAGCTAACTTAAACTGTATGTACAGCCAAAACTTTATTTGTAGTTAAAGATGAGAAGGGGATTAGGTGTTGGGTTCTTACTGCTAGCCACTGCTCCATTAGAGAGATTTCGCATACTTCCTGTCCTGGTGACAATGTTTGCCACAGATAGTAAGGAAAAATCTGCAACAGGGACATAACCATCAATACAAAGTTGACAAGTGTTCCAGCTTCCCTCTACTATACAAAAAAGCATATCGGTGTTGCTGTTGGAGGTTTATTTTCACTGCCAGTCTGACAAAAATAATTGGAACCAGGAGGACAGTAGGTAAGGAGAAACTTCTCTAACAGAGCGCAGGATAGCAATAAAGATCTAATTCCTTCCTTACTCAATCAAAAGTGTAAAAAAAGTTTTAGTTTGACATAAGTGACTGCATTTGACTTTATATAAGTAATCTTACCGTTTGGTATACAATTTCTAATTAAAAAAACATTAATGGGGCAACCTATTTGCTCATTTCATTACTCTGCTCCTTGCTTTGTAGAAGTACCTGACTGTCCTTCACTGCTCCTCTGTGTCAGTGAAAGCCTATAATTCAGGTATTAAATGAATAAAAACTTTGGAATGTGGGAGGAAACCCAAGCAAGCAGAGGGAGAACATGCTAACTCCTTGTAGATAGTGACTTGGCCAGGATGGAACCAGGGACCCCCAGTGCTACAAGGCAGAAGCACCAACCACTATGCCGCTGTGCTGCTATTTATATTATATATGTGCAGTGGAGTACAAATCAGAATAAATGTCAAGGCACATTTATAGTGTGTAACCTGCATTACAGCACACTTATTACCACCAGCACATAGATGGGGAGCCAGCCTAAATCAGGCTTCAAAAAGTTAAAGTCATGGCATCTACCATGAAATTGTTAGCCGCTGTTTTTGTAATGTTTTTGTTATTTTCGAAAGGTATAGAACACTAATCCTACTTGGTGATGGAGTCATTTGTTAACAAAAATGGAAAATAAATTGTCTGCCAAAAAACTACAAGAGCCTGATAGGAAATTTTTAAAGTGCTTAGCACATTCTCTACCCAATTACAATCTACTTGTTGAACGACTGATACACATGATGGGTGATAAGTTACTGTTGTGTAAATTCCACTCAGTCACTTTACTGTAAGCTCAGCTGCCTAAAACATATCCTTCTGTCATTAAAACATGCTAAATGTAATAGTACAAATGTTAATTATGATTCGGTGCACACCTTACCCCCGGCACATGGGGAACTACCTAAATCTTCTAGGGTGGTCCTCAGCATTGTGTGTTAACACAACAAGTCCAATCAAAAGCTAGGGACTGTAAAGGACGATCTCGGTCATGACACCACTGCAAGATAACTTTTATCTGTGTGAAGAAGGAACAGACCTCTCAGCTGACCATCAGAGCTGCCATATGTGCTGAGGCTGTGTGTCACTGTCAGGTCACAGTCAAGGTCTGAATATACCCTTTTCTACCCCAAAAATACACCACAATAATATATATTTTCTGAAAAAAATGACCTCTAGAATGAAAAGACCGTAGTAACATTTTTTTGTAAAATATAAAGGATGAAATAGTTGTGTAAATAGATACCAATACCTCAAGTCTCAAAATGACGTGCGTCTGCAATATGGTGCAATAACTGGTAACCATACAGGTAATGATGACTGCTTTGTGGTGCAATAAAGTTCAGGTTTGTTTTTTGCTTTATTTAAGCATGCCATTAAAAATTAATTGCAATGCAACACACACATATACAGGTGAAACTCGAATAATTAGAATGCAAAAGTTAATTTATTTCACTAATGCAACTTAAAAGGTGAAACCAATATATGAGATAGACTCATTACATGCAAAGCAAGATAGTTCAAGCCGTGATTTGTCATAATTGTGATGATTATGGCTTACAGCTCATGAAAACCCCAAATCCACAATCTCAGAAAATTAGAATATTACATGCAATCAATAAAACAAGGATTGTACATAGAACAATATCGGACCTCTGAAAAGTTTAAGCATGCATATGTACTCAGTACTTGGTTTGGGCCCCTTTTGCAGCAATTACTGCCTCAATGCGGCGTGGCATGGAAGCTATCAGCCTGTGGCACTGCTGAGGTGTTATGGAAGACCAGGATGCTTCAATAGCGGCCTTCAGCTCTTCTGCATTGTTCGGTCTCATGTCTCTCATCTTTCTCTTGGCAATGCCCCATAGATTCTCTATGGGGTTCAGGTCAGGCGAGTTTGCTGGCCAATCAAACACAGTAATCCCACGGTCACTGAACCAGGTTTTGGTGCTTTTGGCAGTGTGGGCAGGTGCCAAGTCCTGCTGGAAAATTAAGTCAGCATCCCAATTTAAATAAATGAACTTTTGCACAATATTCTAATTATTCGAGTTTCACCTGTACAGCACGTTACCCTGTGTTATGCTGGGCACACACCTTACAACCATCGCAATACTTTTGTCTTGCGATGGTTGTAAGGTACTTAAAAAAACGTACGATCTGCCTATCTTGGACAGGCAGATCGTACTTGCGATGATCGCAAGCCCGCCCCACTAGGGGGCAGGCTTTCCGATGACCGCAATGCCAAACGAACCGTCAATTCTCGGCGGATTTTCGAACATGTTCGTAAGATAAAAGTCATGCGACCTTACAGTAGTTGAGGTCGCACGGCTTCCACACACCTTACGATAGTCGTACGATCACGGGATTTCCCGCGATTATCATACGATTATCGCAAGGTGTGTGGGGACCTTTATGGGTATGGCTGTTATCACATGGCTGTCCTGTGGTGTGAACAAGCTCTTATAATTTATAAAATGATGTTTCACTTCATTGAAAATTGCATTCATGGAGGTGAACTGCAGACAGAAGCTGTAAAATGACATACGGTGGAGATGGCTCCTAATGGAATAAACTTATTAGCTGATGGTATAAGTGATTGCTCCAAGTAACAGAAGTGCTTTCATTGGTTAACGTCTCAGTCATCTTTCACACCTTTCATATACTGTATGTGCATTTGCACATGGATATTAAAAAATAAATAATAAATAATAATGAAATATATATAATAT